AACCATAGTATCCTTGTCAATTCTATACAATAAAAGCCAAGATCAGCAACACCCTATTTATAGTTGTGAGAAAGGAAAATGTTTACATGCACAGTTGCAGGAATGGAAAGGAGAGAAAATGAAAGGCTTACCTGGCTTTAAGCCAATTTTAAAAAATGAAGTTTTATTTTATTGTTACATCTACCCATCTTGCAGATATAATTCTGGCAGTCTAACACAATTTAGAAACAATACAAAATAAACAATAGCCAAAAGCAAGGACAAGCATGCTATGCTAACCAAAGAAACTAGGAACAACCCATCTGGACGAAACTGTCCTCTTAACATTGAGACCTGGGAAAATAGCCAATTCTTAAGAGTGTTCCAAAAAGCCAACTTAATCCTGGGTTGAGCCATAACAGAAAATTTAACATTTTCTATTTAATTTTCTTAATTTTAATTTTCTATTTAAAAATAAATAGAAATGTATCTCTGTCCTAACTCAGTCTTCTACCTTTGATGTGACAGAAACTAATTTCTGATAAAAAGATAATGCAGGAAAGTTGGTACTGGTGGCAAATAGTTCTTTTTTTCCCCTTTTATCTGTCTTAAAATCAGAATATATTATTTCTATAATATTGTTTTGGGACTTTGTAAGTAGGTTTTACTACAAACTTCCCACATAGGTTGACAGGTACAGCTGTGTGAAAAAGTCCTGCATGCTTTACGGTTTATGACATTTTTTGGATAGGCCATTGATTTTATGATATTTTATGCTAACGGCTATGCAAATATTGTTATATTTAAATAAATAATGGTGGTTTTTAAGTGAAAAGCATAAGCTTTTTGCAATTTGGTGCTGTTTGGATGGGGATTGTGAATTTTCTTGCATGCTTACAATGACTATGAAAACAGATTAACAGATGCATACCCAGCGACATACGTGTTGCAATTACTAAGGCCAATGTTTGTGTTTTGTTAACATTTTTATTGTTTGTGGCCCTGAAAAGGACCATTTAGGAAACCAAACATGGTTACTAATATGAAATTGGCCAGCCCTTATTGCTTATCACTAGGTGGCATCACTTCGACATAGACTGTATAAGCCTTTGCATGTGATCTTTGGTGACAATAGCAATAGCAGTTAGACTTATATACCGCTTCATAGGGCTTTCAGCCCTCTCTAAGCGGTTTACAGAGTCAGCATATTGCCCCCAACAACAATCTGGGTCCTCATGTGATGCTAGGCTGCAATAATGGATTCAATCAGTTCCTGCTTGGTCTTCAGATGCTTCTTGCTTATTTTGTAACCAATCTTGGCCCACAAGTTCTCAATTGAGTTCAAATCTGGGCTCTGAGCTTTGCCAATCCAGGAGTCAAACACCATGCTTCTTCATCCACTGCTGGACGGACTTGGCTCGATGACCTGGAAGTAAAAGTCCTTCCCTACAAGTTGCTGAGCTGAAGGAAGCATGGTCTTTTCCAAGACTTCAACATACTGTTTGGAATTCATGACTCCCTGCACGATTTGTATCTGACCAATACCAGAAGCAGCAATACAGCCCCAAATCATCATGTGCAATGGATGCTTCACAGAGAGTTTCAGGCAGGAGGGCTTAAATTATTCAGCTGGAATTTTTCTGACATATTTATTGCACTAATTCCCAGTCAAGTAGAAATTGTTCTTGTCACTGAAGATGACCTTGGCCCACTGTTCGTTGGTCCACTTGGCAAACGTCTTGGCCCACGCATGTCGACGAGAACGGTGAGCGTCTATGAGCAAAGGTTTACTTCAAACCCTGCAGCCTTTGAGCTCTCTGGCAAGCAGTCTGTGATGCACTGTGCTTGTGCACACTTTTACATCACATGTTTCACCCCAAATTCTTGTAATCTGAGGTGAGGTGAACTTCCTGTCAGCCATCAAAATGCGTTGCAGAGCCCAATCTTGCCGTTTTGTCGACTTTCTTAGTCTTCCAGAGCAGAGCCTGTCATCAACTGAACCAGTTATTTGGTATTTTTCAACCACTTTGCTCACTGTGGTGCAATGGCATTTTACTCTCTTGGCTGTTTCTGTACAGGAGTAACCCTCTTCATGAAGCACAATGATGTGATGCTGCTGCTCAGTACTGATGAAAACAAAGGCCTTCATCCTTGCCCGCATCCAGAGCTAAATTAAATTTCTCAATGCTTTTCATGTTTATTTATAGTCAGAGAGTATGACAACATTGATCGGCTCATACATTTAGCCTCTGTGCATTTTGATTGGTCAGCCAAAGCTTGCTGCTGATTGGCTACGTTCAATCCTAACATTTCCGAAAATTCAAGTTATGTTTGTTTTAGCACATAAGCTCACTCAAAACCTTTAAAAGACTTTGGTTATATTAATAAAAATTATGCATATCAATCCAACTACAGAAATTTTCATCAAAGTACTAATTTTGCATGGTTTATATGAGTGAAAAGTTGACTAAACATATAAATACAGCTTAAAACTGAAAGCGTGCAGGATTTTTTCACATAGCTGTATGCTATTTGGCTTTCTTGATATCCATTTTGCCACATTTCCACAATGAAAGAGCTTCTGTTTAACCTTCTTTGACCTTGCAATACCAGCCTCCTCCCCAGCACAGGCTACCTATCCCCCACAATAACAACATCAAAACTCCAATAACCTGTGCAGTAATGGTCACTGATGCGTAAATATATCTGGAAAGCCACTGTTGAATATACCAAACGTTAATAATTTAGCAAATGATTGCACTGTACTGCTGACTAAAGAAGCCGAATATTTGAGACTATGTACACTAGGAGAAACTAAATAGCTCTAATTATTCTGAATTAAAAATATCTGAATTAAATTCTGCTTTAGCAAAAACAAGTCTAAATAGAAGTTGCAGAAAACACAGAATTTTCTTTGACCGCATTCTGCAATTACCTTTGAAGTCTTGAAATAATTGTCTCCTTGTTGGATCTATTTTTTTTTTAATTTATCACATTGTACAAATCTATTGACTTTTTTCTTGCCAGATTTGGCTCCATTTACAGGTAGCTCTCAACTGGAAATGGAAATCTGGTCTTAAATTGAGCATTCGTGTCACTAGACCCATGTGTAAAAATGTTTTACAACATTTTTGCGGCAGTCATTAAGTGAATCCATTCTTCTGAATGGTTGTCTTTTGCCTGGAAAATATAGATCACATGACTATGTGACACTGCAGCCAGTCATAAATCTGAGCCAGTTGACAAGTGCCCAAAGTGCAGTCACATGACTGCAGGAAGCACAACATGTTATAACAGCTGGAAGCGCTTCATATGCTTTATAGATGGTTTCTTGAGTGATAGATGGTAAATAGATTTAGATCTGGTTATATTAGAATAAATATTGTGTATTGTAGACATGAATAATATGTGTTATGTTGTATGTAAACAATGCCATGTTGACCTCTGATAATGCTAATGATTTACACATAAATTATGTGATGCAACAAGAAGCACAGATCTGAAAATTTAAGTATCAAAGACCAAGGTGGATTATTTATTTGATTGACAAGAAAAATATAGTGAACCATTGCAATTTATAAGCAAGTACATTAAATTCTCTAGCCTTTTCTGAAGAAATGAAAAAAAAATTAAGATAAACAAATGCTGGTAATACTGTAGGAGTGAACATTCAAATGAGTGAAACTATAGAAGTGCATGCTTCCTTTATTACTGTATTGCTGTAAGAGTTGACATATAAGAAATATGGAAGTTGGATTCAATAGAAATGGAATATTTAATGAAGTACTTTGGTTAAAAACAAGAGGAGTTAGCATCAGGAATGAATCAGTGCACATTAAAAATGGAGTAAAGGAAAAATAAGTGGCCAATACATTTGGGTTTGATCATATAGAGAATTTATGAACACCTAATTGCATAAGAGAAGGAATGAATAAATTAAAAGGAAGAACAAATGTCATAGTTGGATGGAGCTGATGCGTTCAAAAATGAAGATGTTTAAAGAGGCCACCCAATATTTAGATGTGATGAAAGAAAGAGTGGTTTGAAAAGACAGAAAGATATGGAAGAGTGATACTGACTGGGATTAGTATAAATTAGATTTAGTTTCCCTTTTCTGATCTTCTGCCTAAATTGATCAAATTTAGAAAGAAAATCAGAGAACATCTCAATCAAATGGATTAGGAAGGTATAAATTCATTCATACATATGGGTCTTCTCTTTTTCAGAATGCCAACCAGACAGACATGACATTTGTGCGTATGTGTTTTGTGTGATTGATGCCAATTGGCTACATAAGGATTTATAAATAATGAATTCACTATTAGTTATTTAATATTCTTCTTATAGCTGGAAAGAGCAGATGGGAATTAGCCATGTAAGTACCTGTGTTCACCAACAGGTAGAGTGCGACCTAAATCTAACTTAGAATTATGGACTAGGAGAAATGTTTCAGGCAACACTAAGAGAGAGGCTATCATACTATTTTATTTCTTTGAGGAACAAAGCAAGTTTTATTTATATTTATTAGAGTAAAATATAAAACTTAAAACATTCAAATAACCATTCATAAAAATAAACTGACATTTATGAATAAATTGCATGTCAGATAATACTTGGGTCAAATTCTGAGATTAGATTTTCAGTGAGTAAAGTTCTGAAATGTTATCTTTGATGGGAAAGATGCTTCTATGACAGCTAGTCCTTTTTCAACAGAACTATTCAAATATTCTTTTTGTTTAAATATCTGCATGGCTATTCCTCCTCTATAAATGATTTTGCTTTTTAAAGTAAAACCTGAATTGCATATTTCTCAATATTAAAATACATTTTTCTTTTCACCTTTTAATTGGGAAAGCAACTGAATCATTACAGTAAATTTATCTCCCTGTATCAAGGAACGTCACTGGTAGTTTTTCACAACTTTATGCTAGCTTTTTTTTTCAAAACATCTGGCATACTTTATTGATGGGTAAGATTTAAAGCTGATCTCTCAGAATAATTGTTGTTGGTTTGTTTTCTAGTCATGTGACACAAACAACATCCTGGATCCATCCCGTCACTAATGTACTTGCCTTGTCATGCTTGGAAGAAAACGAGGATGATGGTTTCAGAGAACTTCCGGATCCCCAAACCTGAGACCATAGATGAAAGACAACCTGCTTCCAACAGTTTATTCATCAACAGAAATAAATTAAAGCTTGGTTATTGTTTATGTACAACAGATTTTCAAGAGAAACAATTGCCCTCACAAGATCAGTATTATACAGAAGAACCAGTTTCATATTACAAGAGCTTAATTTTAATATTGTTTATGTCCTTCCCATTACAAATTCACATTCTTTGCAAATTAACCATGAATATCTTCTTGCATTCCTGACAATTATTGCTGGTAACAGATGATATCTGGCCCAAGAGCTGAATTGTTTCCTATTGTATGTTATTCAATAGTGCTGAGTCCCTCAAGCTAGTCCTACCATGAGGTAGATTTAAAAGACTAGTATCAGAAAGTTTGGGGGTATAGAAAGGTAACAAAAACAGTTGTTGATTTTCAGGTTTTGTTTTGATGCCCTTGAGTCAACATTGATCCTGATGATACTTTGGACAAGTCCCTGAAGTTTTATTGGCAAGATTTTGGAAGTGGTTTGCTCTTGCTTTCTTCCTAGGTCTGAGAGACTGGCCACAAAGTCACCCCACTGGCTTTGTGCCTAAGGCAACTAAAATTCACAGTCTAGATTTCTAGCCTGGTGCCTTCATCACTTCATTAGATTGGCTCTCCAATCTAATGCAGATTGCAAAAATGTTATTGCATTTTTAATGGAAGAGATGGCAGGGGTTGTAGCTTAAAAGTATACTTCCTAGGATATCTTGAGGAATTTCCACTGGAGTTGAGTAACCAGTCAGCACTATTTGTTCGCCTAGATCTGGAAATATCAGTCTAGCTACTCTTTATAGCCCACCAAAGCTTATGGCGTTTAATGTATTAGTCAGAAACGATGCTACAAGACTCTTTCTGACACTATAGACTATCATGGCTGTCTTCTTAATGTTGCTACCAAATTAATGATGTATCTGTTGTGCAACTCTTTAGTCCCATACATTTCCAAACAACTATCAGTACATAGATGTAAGTAATTAGCACAGCAGTTTTATTTTACGCTGAGCAATAGTAACATTTCAGCAATCTGTAGATGTTTGAGGGTTTTTTAAACCTATTAATTAATAGCTCTTCAGAAGTAAGTAGCTATGTCCAGTGTATTTCTTTATCCTAGCATCATATTGCTGGGCAGATAAGTTCCAGTCACTTCACATTTTTTACTGACATGTCATCAAAGCAGATTGTTTTCTATTTAAAAGCAAAATATTTTCTAGCCTTGACTTTTTTTTTTATAAGTTACAACATGTATTTCATTATGCAGGCAAATGCAAATGGGATATGTAATGTTAAGATATAGTGCCTTAGCTGTTTATAAGTATTAGTAGTGTTCTTAATAGTTTTTATAACAAAATTAGCCTAATTTTTAACTTTTTTTTATTTCCTATGAGTTTTCCAAATTTTTCACCTTTTCTCTTTGCACATAATTATAATAGGCTAATGAGAGACATTGTACTGTTATTGCATTCAATCTTAAAAGATGAATAAATGATATTTCTTTCAAGGTTTTAAAGTTTGAAGTATTTAGTCTTCTCAAAGCTGTGATTAGGAATCATAAAAGCTAGAATTTTTACTATAACAGAATATAGTATCTTGCTAGCTGTGAACTAAGGGGCATATTCCAAAAAACATGCTTAACAAGCCAAAACCAAAAGTTATTTATAAATTGGTTTTTTTTATCTGTTTCCAAAGTGTACAGTAATTGCATTCCCTTTGTCCTGTATATCAGCGGTCCCCAACTTTTCTGCAACTAGGGACTGGTTTCAGAAGAAAAATTGTCTTCCATGGACTGGAGGCTGGGCGAATGATTTTACGTACAACCTAGATCCTGCACATGTGCAGATGAAGTTTCATTCGCTCACCTGCCACTTGCGCAGACCAGTTCCTAACAATCCAGAGACTGGTACCAGTCCACGGCTTGGGGGTTGGGGACTCCTGCTGTATATCAGTCAGTTGTTTCAAGAAGTGCCTGACTTATGAGAGCAGTAAATCAATTTGTATATTGTAATGAAAGCCTGCTGGCAAGGGAAACATTTTGGAAATAACTTTGTCAACTAAAATTATATTAGGTAGCAATCCAAGATATAACTTAGAGAAGATCCTTATTACCTACTTAGTACTTTTTTGTGGTCTTCGTAGCATAGAAAGCCATCCCATCTAAGTACAGCCCCCTACAAGCTGTGAGGGGCATCTTCCTATGATCATCCTAATGCTTCCCTTTGCAACAGCTGGCTCCTCTTCCTTGGCATCTGTCCTTGATTATAGTTGTTGCCAGAGATTCTTGGATTCTACCAGTCAAAATCACTTGTTTTGTGGTCAAAGCGATGGGAGTTGTAGTACAACACAGATTTAGGAGACTACAATTTCTCTCTTAATGTTTGGGATGAGGCAATGCAGGTAATGTTTATTTCTATTATTATCATCTGAGACATTTCATACACATTGCGGTCCATAGCTTCATAAAACAGCCTTCTGTCATCTATACAGAGATGTGTTTTGGGCTGTGGTAGTTACATAATTGATATGACATTTCAGTAATTACTGGGGGGGCACACTTAATTTGTAACCCGTTTGTAATAACAAGAATGATGAAATTGACATGTAAATGATCAAGAAGGAATTGCCAGAAGCTCCCAACTTAGTATTCTGACATTTGACTAGCAACATTGGCTCCGAAAGCCAAAAACAAACTCCCATGGAAACTGTCAGTGAACTGAATGTCTTTATTTTTATTTAAAGAACCCTCTTCAACATGATTCATGATTAATCCCCATTTCAGTCTCTCTAGTATTTGTGATTTATGATTGCCCTTGACAGATGAAGGTGGATTTTAAAATGTTTACAGAGCATTTAAAACTTACCCCTCCCTAGAAAATCAGTTCCACTACTCAGTCGGTCTTCTATTCGAAAGCTTTTCCTGATTTTCAGCTGAAACCTTCCTTTATTCCATGCCCCAGACTCTGTGATAAATGTAACTTTTCTCCATGGGACTGACAACTCTTCAAACTGACAGCACAGTTAACTCAGGCTGTCCCCTTACCCATTCAGATCCTTAGCAGTGATTCTGGCAGCACACAATCACATTGAATCAAGGCTGTATGTTGGGAATAATGTCCTCAGCCACAAACCATGATATACCATAAGCCCTTCAAGCAGATGGCAAGAGAGGGTTGTCAGGGCAAACTAGGCATGGTTTGGGCACTGTAATCTGTGTGTGGAATTGTGTGTTTGTGTTGCCAGGCATCAGTATTGCATTGGCATCCTTCAGTCTCAAAAGACCATGGTATCATGCTCTGGAAAGAGGTCAAAGCTGGAGTGTCCTCTCCAGCACGAGGCCTAGGTAGATTGATATGGAGGATAGACTGTTACCCAAGCAGCAGATCCCCCCTCTCCATGTCGCTGAAATAGTCCAATGGAATGGCAGAGCCGATACGATTGATTCCAGGTGCGTCACAACAGTTACCAGAACATGGTTGTACACAGTCATGAACTGCCTCTGGGTCTCTGGCTGAAGTTTTTGCCCTGAGGTTGACTCCTGAAGCCTTTTCTAGTAGTGGATATGGCCACATGGTAATGGAGGTTTGTAATCAGTTTCCCTTCTAGAAGATGGTTCTGCCGCTTTATCTGCCGTTGGGGCATAGAGCCTCTTCCTCCTTCAAAACCATTGACCATCTTCTATAACCCTGGAAAGGCGCCCTTACAAGGTGCTACCAGCCGGGCCAGCTGGACCAAGGTTTTTTAAGGAGGTGTTACTCCTCCATCATCACTGCCAAACATCAGTAGTGAAGAATATAACAAACTAGGCTTTCTTTTTTTCATCCATTCTTTCTATCCAACACTTTTTTCTTACAGGACTAACTGGGCAATAATAGGACAACTGTGTTTTGGGGTTTCCCATGATAAGTATAACTTGCACATTTATCACTATGCAAGAGAGGTTCTTTTTGGAGATAAGTTTATTCTCTTCAGGTTAGTTGAATGAATCAACTAATTCCCTTGTTGGTATCCCATAAGATACATCTCCTCCACCCAATTGTGATTAAGTGTGTTATGAGATCAGGGCCATCGTTGGTATCAAGTTTCCCCCAGCATTCTCTTCAGAAAGCATTTTTTTCCTCATCCCACATAACATTGTTTCAATACCATCATTGCAGAGGATGGGGAGGTCTAGAAACACAAGATATAAACAAACAAATAAAATTATCTTTACCTGGGGGAGGGGGAGTTCCCCATTGGAGGAAAAACTTCAGTTGTTGGCTTTAACAAAATCCTAATGATGACTTTTTCTCTCCAGAGTGAAAATTGCAGCTTCAGAAGCAGAAATCAGAAATATTCTACAGGCCCTCTTGTAAACTGAGAAGTTTCAAAAACAAAAACATTGACAAAGTTGAAACAAAGATGTATTTCATGTAATGTAATGCTTCTTTCTCATATTTAGTTCGGGGGAGGGGGCAGTGTTTTCTGTCTCCAGATTTCAATTTTGTTTATATTTCATCAAGTCAATATCAACTCTTATTGACCAGATGGCTAAATCATCTCCAGGATGAGCCAAGCTTTAGCTTAGCTTGGAATTTGCACATGACCACTTCATAATCACGTCCACAGTCAGACCTTGAAATCGTTGGATTGACAGCAACTGATAAGTTGTTTTGCTTCATTTCTCTTTCCTAGACTATTCTGCCCAATTACCTTTTTCTCTCTGCTATTCTCAACTTTGGCTTTCCATCTTCAACCATACAGTGGTCCCTGTATTCTTCACTCAGTCCTCACAGTAACGCAGTAACATGCTCTGAGACTTCATTATAGTTGTCAGGACTGAAAGCCATATTTTCTTTTTGGACTTCAGATCTGTCTGAAGTTGGGTGATATGTAGCCATAACAACATTTTTTTTCTAGAGAGCCAAGGTCATCCTTTGTCTCTGCACCTGGCTGGAACTGAATAAGTGGAAGATGCCAGCGTAGCAATGGAAGATTGGACCATGTGATGGAATGTGGGGGGGGGGGGCAGGATCTTGAACTTTCAATTGGGTGGGAAAACCTGGAAGCTTTCAGATTTGGGTTTTCCCAGATGTGCCAACATTGCTCTCTTAATAAACTGGAACTTTGAGGAATCTTTTGCCTCGGACTGATTTACTTTTGGTTGCTATTTGGAACCCCGACAATAGTTATGTTAAGCCCCAAAAGATCCAATTGGTTTTTTTTATTGGAGACAACTTTGCTTACAGACTTCGTCAACACTGATTATTTTAATTATCCTTATCCTTCTTTAAGAAGGAAAGATCAGTTGATTAAAGAGAGGTCACCTGCCATCTATTGCAGAATACGGGTAGTGCCTTAGTTGCTAGGCATGAACCAGATCTGAGAACGAGATGGTGGAAAGGATTGCTACAGAGCCACTGGGTCTTCTTTCACTGAGGAGGAGTAAATAAAGTTTGTCATGCAATCTCCATTAGGAATTGTGTATGGGGAATACATAGGACTGTGATGGCGAACCTATGGCACGTGTGCCGGAAGTGGCATACAGTCATCTCTCTGGCCACACCAGCCGTCACCTGTTGCTCTTCCGGGTTCTGGCCAGCTGGTCTTTGTGAGCATAGGAACCCTGAAAACTGGAAGAGCAGGGCCCTGGTGCGCATGCACACACTGGGATGCTGAGCTTATGGTTTCCGGCATGAACATGCATGCCGGCCAGCTGGTATTCACACATGCATGTATGCCAGAAACTGTAAGGCAGGCCAACTTTCCATCACACACATGAACACTGGGGAACTGCTCTTCCAGCTTCCGGTGCTCCCCTGCATGCATGCGCGCTCCCGTTTTGGCACTTGGTACCAAAAAGGTTCGCCAATGCTGATATAGGATGTAGTCTCTTCTCCAACTTCAAAAGTGGCAATATTCATAGTAATGTAACTTCCGCTTTTATACCACAGTGTTTCCACCCTGTGGCCACTAGGGAATACTTGCAAAATTCCTCCTCCTCTCCCTTCTCCTCCTCCTCCTTTTGGTATTTTCTTCAGTTATTGGCACTCACATCAGGGAGAAGAGGCAGAAGAATTCCCAAACCTGACCGACCAGTATAACAGGAGAACCAAAAGGTGAGATGTCAAAAGCACAAGTACATCCCAAAGCCATAATTGCTGTGGTTGGGAGGGACTGTCACCCAAGAGGAACTGAATCAAATAGGCCACTGACATGCATGTGTCACAATGCAAGCTCAGCAAAGCTTCATCACAACTCTGTTTCCCTGTTCCACTTGTCTCCTTCCACCTCGGATGGTAGCCAACCATGCAACAGTCTAGTGACAATCAAACAGGAAAAGCAAACTCTACTTGCTTTTTGCATCCCTCAGGATAAACACCATGAATGATTAGAAAACCTCAGCCAGCACACAAACTGTTATGAAAAGGATGTGCTGTCCACACTAGCAATTAATAATATTGTCCAGCCGTTCTATGGGATGTTACTAAGGAAAACGAACTTTGTATTGCCGCAGTGATGTTTGGGTGTC